ATGAAAACCAGCTTTAAGCAACGGCGTAGTCGAACGGTGCACACTCGGTAAGTAATCCTAGAATTTTTTGTTTATAGCATAGTTTATACGGATTATTCCCAAAAAATTATACGTGTTTTGGAAATGTTGAGTCGAATTAGTCTAGAATCGGTTAATTTTATAAAAGAAAACCTTTCAAACAGCCTTAGTCCGTAAACTTCACACATGTCGGGCTGTGATTGGCTCGTGTATTTAAGGATTCCTACAACATAAAATTGTTATAAAGTGGAATGTATCTAAGTGTTATAGGGGGGTCTACTGTAATATCATCAAGTTAAAATAATAGATAAAAAATATACTTATTATTCTTGTATTTATCTAAATGTAATCTTTTGATGACACACAAGGCTTCAAAAGGAATAAACATAAATATAGTCAATGATATTGAATTTATTTATGAAATGGAATGAGTATTGTTTACTCACATATATATATATATATATATATCCTTTTTTTACTCATTGTTTTTTCCTTTTAATTTATAAAAAAATATTTGAAACACTTATTTTCTTACTATTTCTTTTATTAATATACTCATGTCTAAAAAATAAGCTTAATCATCTAATCCATAAATAGGAGTCCAGGTGTAGTCTACAGAATGATTCATCAGATTAGAACAGAACTGGAGAGAGTGGGAAAACATATATAGTCTAATGAACATTGTGGAAAGAGACCATTTTGCATGTGGTAGAATTATATTTGATGGCCACATGCACTCCATATTTTTGTACGGGGGTGTCATTGACTGTAAGAAGGTAGAGAAAAAAGTTTTGGAACTCCAAACAAGACTTTTCTAAAGTGCTACAGGTGCAGATTTCATTTTTGTTGACAATAAAGATTACATACTCATCAATGACTTTGTTGACAATATAATGAAGATATTCATTGCATGGAATGGCCAGCAAGATGTCCTGGTTTAAGTCCCATGGAATATGCAGGATGCTCTAGGTTCAAGATGCTTTTATTCAAGAATAGACTTTGCTAATAAATCGGCAAATCCTAAAAGGCCAGTTGGGCATCCCAANCATTGCATGGAATGGCCAGCAAGATGTCCTGGTTTAAGTCCCATGGAATATGCAGGATGCTCTAGGTTCAAGATGCTTTTATTCAAGAATAGACTTTGCTAATAATACAGCTAATAAACAACATTATAACCAGCATGAGCAATTGCTATGCAGTATGTGTTTGTGGGTGGCAACCACACACCATATTAGTCATTATGTTACAAAACAATAGAAAAGCAAAAATTTAATGTTCTTCTGTCTTTTTTTATCAATAGTTCTTGAGATAAAGACCAAATTAATGGTTATGCTTATTTTTTGAACAAGAGTGTGTTTGTGTGTTTTCACCAATATAAATTATAATAATAATTATATAAAAGTAAATTTTAAAATATATTTACCTGGCCATTTGTTTTAACCATGATATTATCACTATGTCTATCTGCCACACCAAGTACATACGTTGCAACACTATAACCAGCACAAGAAGCAGTAAACTCTTCAATAGCTTTAGAGAGGCTATAGGAAAATGTATATTAAATGAAAGTGCTACATTGAAATAACTTTTTAAAAATTAAGTTCAAACCTTTTCTCATCTGGATTATGATCTTTTAACCAAGACAGCAAAGAACCCTTTTTAAAAGCTGATGCCGCTGTAAAACCTTTTTCTTTCTGTATATTTGCTATAGTTTCAGCATTCAAAACTACTTCAATTAAACCCGTTTTATAGTCAGTGGAAATGCATCGATAAGGTGTCATCCTAAAATTAAATATAAAATGTTATTTTCCTCTTGTGAAAATGTATATAACATGCTCATCACTAGCTTCTCCTACTGAAAATTTATGACAACTAAATTTAAAAACTTGTTAAAGTTTGTTCTATTAAAATCTTAGTTCATAACAAAATTATTCATAAATTCATAGTTCTGTGTTAAAACAAAATGACAATATAAAAAAAAATACTAACACTAATTTTATATTCTTGCCCCATTTAAGTATATTCTGTATTATGATTAATAACTTGTTAATAATAATTAAGTTTTGTTCCTTATTAATTTTCCCTATATTTTTAATGATTTTATACAGTTATTTATGAAATACAGGGTGTCTGAAAAGTTCTCACTGCACAGTAACTTTTCACATTAAAGTATGGTATTGTTTACGAAACCTGTTAGCTGTATGTCCCGCATTTCCACTTTTTAGTAGATGACATTACTGCTTGCTAGCAAATCTGGTTTTAGGACTACAGTTTTTGAAAGGCTTCTTTTCTGATTGCATAATCTTTCTTGGAATATGAGAGATTATGCCTAGGAGAAACTGCAATATTGTATATAACTTGTGTATAACCTTTTTCACTGCACAGTAACTTTTCAGAAACTCTGTATATACCTTTCTTTTATATGTTGTAAAAAAATAATAGTTTATTTATTAACCAATTGTTTGTGGTCCCACATTGATTAACATTATGTGAAAATTTTCACATAATGTTAATCAATTTCGTATTTTCACATTTAACATGTCGTTGCCATGGCAATGCACACGCTTAACTTTTTATTCTTTTAAATTACGTTGGTAAAGTTCCATTTTTTGAAAATAATTTCAGAAGTTTTGTTCTATGCATTCACATGTTCGAATATAACTGGTTTTTAAACCTGAAGAAGACCAAATGTACGGTTGAAAACGTTAGTTTGCTATTAAATGTTTATTACTGGAGTTATAAGGTTTAGGAGTGTTAATTTATACTGTACATTCTCCAGTATACGCATAAGAAGATTTGAGTGAAAATTTTCTCAAGTGTGCATATTTAATGATGATGATAAGGAATTAACTCTTTGAACAAATTGTAACCTAAAGTATAAGTAACAATTTATGGTATTTATTGATATTATGCTTTTTGATTAATAAATTTAATAATTTATTTGATTTACTAGGCAGGGTAGAGAAAGTTATTAAAAGAAATCAATAATCAAAGCTATTTTACTGCAATTTCTTTGATTAAATATGTCAAACAGTACTAATATAAACTATATCATAATATATTAAGTCACACTTACCTTAAATCAAGTCCTTCATTCTTCCATAATGTATCCATAATTTGTATCATTTGAAGTGTTAACATATCCTGTCTGAGATCTACATAACAATATTTAATAAATTAAAAGAAATAAGGTATTATTATTATTATTATTTTTATTTTTATTTTAATTTGAAGAATTTACCATCTCCATTTTTATATATAATAAATATATCTTGTCCATTTTTATCAAAATTTTCAAAAGCAATATACATTGGTTTCATTTTTGAATCCATAAGGTGGCATTTTTCTACCCTGAAAACCAAAATAAGATTGAAAACAAAATGACTTTCTATACAAATCCAAGTATTTTATCTTACCTAATTTTAGAAAATCTATAGCAAGGATTTAAAGGATTTGGTAAATTAAAAAATGCATCTTGATAATATCGTTGACTAAGTATATCTTGCAACGTTGCTTTGATTTTTTCTCTATTTTCCTATTAAAAAAACATAGTTGAAAGTTCAATAATTGTTATGTAAAAATTAAATACAGAATCTTTCAAAAAGAATGTTACCATTTTAAATTATTGTAATTATGTTAATTATTATCTGAGAACATTATAATGTACATTAAAACATTGGTAAACTGTCCAAGTTTTACATTTGCTCGTTACAATTTCTCAATGTGTGCACCTTGTGTCACATGGCACACATCCAACCAATACTCAAATTCTTCCTATATTCATTACAGCATATCTATTGTCATTCTTCCCAAAACAGCCACAATTCTATATCTCCTGCATGCTCAATCAATTATTCATTTGTCACAGTTGATGAATGATTCTAATTTTGTAAACTGTAGAACACAAAAATCTCTGTTATGGAGTCATCATTTTTGTTTATAGCATTTCTTAGAGGTATAAAGCAAGACAATTGAATGCAAATAGGAGATGAAACTCTAACAGTTAATCTCTCAATTGTTGTACGTTGCATACTTCTCAGGTAATAATTAACTTTGCTACCATTTTAAATTACTATTAATTTCATTTTAGGAAATCCTATATCTTCCTAAGTAATCGATAAAAATTTTTGAAATTTAGGGTAATATGCACACACTATTCTATAACTTTTTTTTTTTAAAGCTTTATATGTTGCATTTAAATCCATACATTGATAAATTAGTTTTTTATTCAATTTTATGTAAAAAATTTACATTTAGCACTTATACAGAGTAGCTTCAAAAAGTTCCTGGTATTATGCTGGGTTAGTCAATTAAAGGTGATGAAAAAGGGAACATGTAATGCATGTCTTAGCTAAAACATGTCAGGAATAGAGAAATATGTTCAAACAAATCTGTACTCACTGCAAAGATGACAACAGAATCCATTCACTGAAGGCCATTTACTATGAGACATTGTGAAACAGTCTGACAAAAATGTCTGTGGAAGACCATGCAAATATCAATTTTGTGTTTATTGGGGAAAAAACCTTCTGAGACCTTAAAGATGCTTCAGGATGTCTATATTGAATCTTCCACAAAGCATTCTCAAGTTTATGACTGGCAAAATCACTTTCTTGAGGGATGAGATTATATTGTTGTTGACTGTATATGAGATTGTGAGGTCAGACAGCAGGAATTTTGGTTGGAACTTGTCATTCCATCCTGCATGATCAATTGAACTTGCACTGCATTAGCTAACACACTGTACAGACCTCATGCAATTTCTATCTCTTCCCCAATTGAAAGATGCCATCAAAAGATGCCACTTCAAGAATGCAGATAAGAGTGTGACATCTGCATTGCAGGCACTGTCACAAGATGACTTTCAAGAATGTTTTCAGCAGCTATACCAGCATTGGCAAAAGTGTGTGGTTGCTGAAGGACAATACTTTGAAGGACACATTGCTTGATTTGTCAATTGTACATATACTTTTGATTAATAAACCAATTTCAGGAACTTTTTGAAGCTACTTCGTATAAATGCAGTTATCTGTTAGTAATTAGTTTTAAAACAAAGTTAAGCAAAATTCTATTAATAATTCACCAACAGATTCAAATATCAAAGTTAAATATTTATTTTATTAAATCTAATTTTTAAACAATTATTTGAATTTACAAAATGAAGTTTTATAAATGTTTTAATTAATTAATTACATTGGTTAAGTTCATGGATATAAATTAAATTAGCATTGAGTATTAATTAACTAAATTTGTAGTCAATAAAATTATATTAACTGTACACTAAATAATGTTTATTATTAATTTGAAAAATTGGGTCATTATTTCCTTATAAAAAAGAGTAAGGAAATAATGACCCAATTTTTCAAATTAAAAATTTAGTCAATCACATAAGAACATTTCAGAAATATATTTTAGACCCACTTGAAGATGTACAATAATAATTGAAAAGACAAAGAAATTTTTGGCTGATGTAAATATTTAGTTGAATTAGTAATTTAGTAAAATCTTATTCAAATACCAGTGCTATTATCAATGTTGTCAACATAAAATTATATATCTTATCAGAGATATATTCACTTTAATAAAACATTTTGTTTTCTTGTTAATTAAGGCTTTTTGTCTCTATTATTATTATTATTTTAACTATAATCTACTGTACTTTTTTTTGCAACAAGAGATTTTATTAGTCTGTAGTGTACAATGCTTTCTTGTATTTCAGACCGACCTTTTCATCCCTCATCAGCAGATGTTTTATACATTATAATTCTAAAATAAATACAAAAATAAAAATTTTATATACTTAAAATAATAATTTACTTTTTTTTAACCAATAAATTAAAAAACAAAAATTTAGAAAATTTACGTATTGGTTAAAAAAATAAATTGTCTAAAGTATTATTTTAAGTATATAAAACTTTTTATTTTTATTGGGTTTTATGATTGTGTAATTAAATTAAATTTTATTTTTGTATGTATTTTAGAATTATAATGTATAAAACATGTGCTTATGGGAGATAAAAAGGTTCAAAATAGAAAGCATTATACAGGGTGTCCATAAAGTCCATGTGCAATTTAAAAAATTTATAATTTTATTAGTATTTGTGATAGAAAAAAATCTGTAAAAAGTATTAGAAAGTTTAATGTACCTAGTTTTATGTAAAATTATATAGTAATACCTAAAACACTGGTTGTGTGTTTACATCTGGCTGGACATATGGAATTTTTTGGGTAAGAAAACCCAAAAAATTCCATATGTCCAGCCAGATGTAAACCCATCTATCTAATACCTAAATAGGGACCAGTTTCCCTCAGAAAGTCTTCCCAGGAGGCACCCTTCTTGGCATATCATTCATTTGTTTCATTGCCTTATTCCACGATCTAATTCAATCTATTCTTAATTCAAGTAATAATTTTGTAAAACAAGAATAAAATATTTTTTTAAAATCCATTTAGATAATATTAATACTTAAATTTAAATGTTTTTGAAAATGAGTGAATTAATTTTTATTATGTTTCTAGTCAATATTTAATAATATGTAATAATACTTGCATATGTGATTTCATGTTTATGAATATTTGTAAAGTAATTGAGAAACTATATTAAATAATTAAATCAAATATAATGCCAAAAAATAGAAATTTTTAACGTGTGATGATAAATATGAAAAAATCTAAAAGCATAAAAGCACAAATATCATTTGAGAGATGTAATCCATTTATTAGAGATAGGATCTGTATAAAATAATAAATGTTTTATTAAATAGGAATAATTAGCATAAGATAGTAATAAATAATGACTTCAGAACGTATAGTTCATCATGAAAACTAGATGCATGTGTCCAAAATTGCTCAGTCTTTTGAAAGGATGGAAGAGAGGTAATAAAAATAATGATCTTAGGTCAATAAATGTACTGTACATTTTAGCTACTGAGTATTTACAATAATGAAACTGCAATTTTATGTTATTGCTTGTACATTTTTAAGTTAGAACACAGGTTTTATAAGTTGGGGTGGGAACTGCACAGTATTTTTTCTATGATGTTGAAGAATATTCATGCCAAATTTGATGTGGATACATTGAACAGTATAGAACCCTTTATTTAACAAACAAACATACTTTGACTTACTTTGACTTTTAGATTTAGAATATGAGAAATCCAATTTTTCTAAATGCAAATTTAGTAAATCATACTTTAAAATGGCACAAGCGTGTAAAAAAGGTTCATTATTTTTAACATTTATCACATCCGTAAGCTAAAGAAATGATTATTAGTTTGTTAGATCAGTTTTAATATAAATATTAATCATAATCCCAAAAATAAAGTGATACTTAAAAACTAATCTTGGAGTCTAAATAAATATGCATAAATTTTCTTCTATATTGAGCAAATGAAGAAAAGCAAAAATAGTAAAAAACAGGGAAAAAGATGAACTTTTTTTGTTATCATACGAGAGACTGAAATAAAGACATTCCTTATTAGGATAACTTAATCTGGTAATAAATATAATTTAAAAAACATCGGTAAGCAATTTTCACAAATATATGGCTTATTTCATGAAATTAACTTTTAATTTAATGTATCACACAGAATATATCCAGTTTGTGATGTTTGAATATGTAATACTAGCCTCAATGGTAAACTGCATCCAAAACACAACTGTTCCTGCTTCTTGAATGATTGTCAATGGAGACCACATCTAGTGTTCTCTGTTGGCAACCATTCTGGTGCTGGAATTCTGGTATGAGGCTTTTATAAACAACTTGAAAGTACATTTATAGGTCTAAACTGTATTTGGCTTATTGCTTTTATTTTTCCTCCTATTGAACATTTTGACTATTCGTTTTGTCACTTGAGACAGTTCCCTCATTTCCTCACCCATTGCATACTATAGTTAAATGTTGCTAATTTATTACAGAATAATATTTAATGTTCCTGAGATATATTAATATTTAATAATATATTGAAAGTGATAGCTTTTCCTTTTCATTTTGCAAGTATTACCTTTTTCTTATTTGCTTCTATTCGCATCATTTCATTAACTGACTTTAGTTTGTTTAATGCTTCCATTTGCCTTGTTAAGGATTTCATATGATCTACAGCACCATGGCAGTACGCTTCCAGTATAAGCCCAAAACGTACACATACCGAAGGAACATGCATTTCAGATCTGTTTTATATAAAGAACAATTAACGAACAATTTTAAAAAGTAATTATTATTTTCAAAAGTTACCTTAATAACCAAAATAGACGATGTCCTACGTCCTGATTTTTCAATGCTCTTTTCAATAAAAATTCTACCAAGTCACAATGTAGATATGATTCATGCTTTAATGCTTGAACAAGCTGAAGTAGGTAGCGTGATAGATCTTCATCACTAAAATATAAATGTATTTTTTTAATATTTGTATTACATAAAGGCTGTTTTTATTTATGTTTTCCAATTATTATCATTTTCTGGATAATTCTATTTTTCATTGAATCTGATAAAGATATTCATAGTACAACAAAGAGTTTTGGTAATTGCCATGTTTGTTTATTCAGAAAGCATAACTATATCCACACATTTTTATTCGCAACTTATCTTCCTACAATTTTAATGATACCTAACTATCTTTTCTAAATACTAAAAATGGATTTTTGTATTTATTTTCATATTTTAAAATTGATTTTTCACAAAATTTATATTGATTATTTTTTTTGTATTATGAAGGTTTTCAATGTTGTAATTTTTTTTTAAATTTTAGAACATTTCATCTATTAAAATTTTCTATATTCTTAAATATTCAACTTTTATTGTAATAAACCAATTGAATCAATGGAAGAAATTACAGTATCAGTTAATTTTTAGTTGTTTTTTTAGACTAAAAAGGTAAAATATTTTGTCCCTATAGTCTAATGAGATTGTTGTACATTTTAATCAAACAAAATAGATTAATTATGTATGTATTTTATTCTTCTATTTACTCATCCAATTATCATGTACTAGAAATTCAGTTGCCTAATTGCCATGCTTAATTTATCTAGTTTTGTTTTTGCTTTGGGAACCAAATCAAAACTCAAAACTAGGAAGATATCAAAAACAGTACAAAGACAGAATTTAAAAAAATTAGCTTTAATTACAATAGTATAGCATATAATGTGTAGAGAAGAGATGATAAATTTTGTGTGTACTTTTTTTAACGTTTACAAAACTTGCATCTTATTAATAAAACAAAAATAAATAAACAGTTGTTTAGTTTAGGTAACTAAAAGAAATATTTTTCATTAAATATCTGACCATCCTCAGCTTAACAAAAGTAGAATTTCACTTGTATATGATAGATATTTAACTAAAAAAATTTCTATAATCATCAACAAAAGTATTGGCTATCTGAACTAAACAGTTATTTTATGCGCAAAGAAATAAATCAAACATTAACTATTAATATAGGATAGTTTAAACTGAATTAAAAAATCTATATCTGAATGTATACAACTAATTTGTAAATCACCAATTTAAATTTATATTATTAATTACAAATCAATGGATTCCATGGTAACATCTCTTTAAAGATTATCAATTGTTCCTTTCATTATTAGGATTCAAATTATTAACCTAGATCTGTAATGTTATGTTAAATTAATTCTAAACAATGCCCAGATGGCCATAAGCATCATCTCTAACAAATCAACACTTGACACTAGAAATGTTTTTATCAAAATGTACAATAAAATGGTGATAGATATTGTATTATTTGTGACCAGTTAATATGTACTTACTGAATAATATATAGATACGTTCTACTACAGATCTAGTTATTTCATTATTGCTAATGTAATCCATGACTAGCAATGGAATAATGTTTTTATTGAATAATTTCATAATCAAAACTACCAAGATCTAAAGTTTTTTAAATTTATTTAATGTTTTCATGACAGAAGTAAGTTAATAATTATAGATGATTTATAATTTTAAATATAAAGAATTAAAGAGCAAGTTAAAAGAAAGCAAACCTCATATTCCTGAGACAGTTAACTGCAAAACTTCTAACTGTCTGATCAACATATGCAAAATCCAGTAGTTCCAAGGCATTTGCAGTGGGTAATTGTTGCCAGTTGAGTACTACATCAGTTATCTTCATTAAAAAGGAAAAATAAATGAATATAGAAACTTAATACAAAGCATAACAAGTATAAGTATATTCTTTACCTCTTTTACAATGCAAGGATCTTGCCATTTGACACAATTAAGAAGCTTGGGAAGGGCATGTGGAAAATGCTTTTTACAATCATTGCGTAGAAACCAAAGAAGTTCTTTTTCCTGTTCGTGCATTTGATGTAAAGGATCCCTTTCACATATGTGCTTTAATTCTTCCATATATGCCTTACTGGCATGCGGCTATTTCGAATAACTCATTAATAAAAAATTTTTAATTTTGGTATTTAGTTAGCTTTAATTTTTTTAAATCCAAATTACCATGGTTCCGGTGGACGATTGATTCTCAGGATTTTGCTCTTCACACGTGTGTTCTAACATCTGATGGCAGGAAAAAAGTTTTTGTATTCAATGTAAAAAAATTAATTAGAACAACAGTGACACGTTATACCTTCATGGACCCGGGAAAATTTGAATTAAGAGACCTCATATATAGTGTTGACTTCAGACAGTTTTCTTATAAAAGATTGGTTTTGAGCCCCAGGCAATTGCCCCTTTTTTGCCCATAGGATAACGCGCCACTGTTAAACAACAATAAAAACGACTTACTTTGGAGTAGCTGGGATAAGAAATGGAATGGTCGACAGAGTAACGATCAAAAGTAATCATAATACCAGTGGAATTTTCTACGTTTGGATTAGAAACCACAGTTCCCAATGGATTTAACATGTCTTCAGTCTGATGATCTTGAGAAAAAGTCCACATGGGAAGTAAAACTGGTCCCGTTTTTAAAATATTTTTAAAATCATAAACTGTGGTATTTACCCAAGCAACAGGATTCGCGTACAAATCCTAATAGAAAAATTGGCTTAACGAAGTATAAAAAAAACTAAGAATTAATTTTAAACAATTAAATTAAAATACCGTTTTCAAATCACGATATCTGGGTTTGCTTCCCTTCGCCGTCTTCACCGGTTTGTACACGACGATGCATAAACGTGTCATTCTGGGTATGCAACATACCGGAAGATCAAACTGAATATCTTCGTTCCAATGGCATTCGCCATTTTCTACAATGGCATCGTTTGTTGATTGTACTTCGCATAACATTTCGTACCCGTGAAACAGTCCCAATTGAACTGTAACCTTAGAAATTTTATAAATGAATAAGCATATTTCTTTTCGTAATTAATTTATAAAAGTTTAACATTAAATATTATTCGTAAAAATTAGGCAAATATGTGATAGAATCTAATATTTATTCAGTGACATTCATTTGAAGTTTGCATTCAAGATATCGATCTCAAAAGGGATCGTAGATTCCATTATATAAACATTCTTATGAATATGCTTGAAAATTATTATTATATATTTACTCTAGAAGATTCTTCGCAGTTCAATTTACAGCAGTAATTGACTCTGAGAGAGAAATTTTCTTGAATTGTCCAAGCTGACAACGTTTTCTGTTTCTTCCTCATTGTTGTGGTTCCATAAAACGAATACGTGCGCTTCCTTTCTAACTTCTCTAAACTTTCATATCCGTCGTCTTCGTTTACTGGTAACAATTAAATTAAAAATTCTAATTTTATTTTCATTTAATTTACATAATGTGGCACATAATTTACGCAGTAAAACTGTAACTTACACCTGATGCTAGCAATGGAAACAACTGTTAATTCCGGTGTTTTATCATCGGCTATCATCTGTCGGATAAACTGTTTACAGATTTAAAAAATAGACGATTGTATAAATTATAATTTCCGTTAAACTTAAAAACAAAATGGCTATTTTTATTACCTTATATTGACTAATGGGGTACGGACCGAGTAGATATTTATCCATACCACAAAGTTTAAAGATGTAATCTTCGGGGGACTCGACTTCATCTCCAGTCATATGAGACTTCTTTATCATGACTTTTTCCATCAGATCCTCTACGGTAATAGTGTGACGTATCCAAAATGTGAAACTAACCTAATATACACAAGAAATTTTTAAAAGTTTCTAACCCGCGACTAACAAACTACCAGTGTTCGGTGATTTTATCCACTTGGACACAAAAACTTCGACAGAGAAACATAATATAAAAGTTTATACTCACTGAAGAATTTTCCAATTTAATTGACAAAAGCAGATTTCCATCTTTTAAACGTGGAAGTAGGTAATCTGGAAGTTTACTGGACGATTCCACTTCGATTGGATAATGATATAAAACTTTATCGATCCATAAATTATTTTCTCTTTCACGAGAGATTTCTTCGCATAGAACCCGCATTTTCCACCGAAAATCATTAATTTCTGGATTTTTGAGAGCGTCGAATTCGTGTAAACCTATAAATAACAGATTTTAATTTTATCAAATGAAATTAATTTAAAATAATCGACGATAAACTTCGGAATCTGTCTATCAACTATGTGTAGGCCTACAGTTTTTGAGCCGTATTTGACTCCCTCCTTGTTGTGTACAATGATGTATTTTTGAAACACCCCCTTTCCTTTTAAATACACGCGTACAATAGTTCATAGACATTGAACAACTTTTTAAAATAATTTCTTCAAACATTTTCTAATTAGTAAATTGGCTTATAACAGCAAATTCGTATGCCAATTAATACCACAAAATTGACTACGTTGACTTTCCACGTAGCCTCTGCTCGACCCCTTCTCCACATCGTATACAATGATGTGCTTTTCGCGATTCCCTCCTCTAATTACGTGTACAGTTTAATGGAAGGCCCGTTTATAATAGAATACAATAGTAAATTTATTTTGTGAATCATAAAAAAAATCGAACCTTTTCCAATTAAACTTCCGATTTGAGCGTTGAGTAATTTTTCTGCTTTGTCACCTTTCCTTTCGACCAGTTTGAGGATTGCCTGAAAGGGTCTAATATCACATAACATTCGTTGCTCATCGACAAGTTCTTCTTGTTCCGCAGTCGTTGGTGTCACGCAAATGAACACGTATTTTTGTTTGTCGTGCAACATCCCATACAACGGATGCTTCTGCGCTTCCTCCCAAACATCCTAAAATGACAAATTTAAATTAGTACTTTCATTTTATAAAGAATTAACTACAGAGTTAACTATTGGATATTTACTTAATTTAGCATTTTATCATTACAATTTTTGGAAAGTAAAAAGATTAAATGTTATTAATTTAAATTTCTTAATTATTTTCCATGTTTGAAATTGGCATTAAAGAATAGCATGGATGAATACAGTGGCGCGTTATCCTATTGATAGAAAGGGCAACTGGGTCCCCAAACCAAATATTTTATAAGAAAATATTTTCCCCGAAGAAAAATGCATGAAGTCAACACTGTACATGGGGCCCCCACATTCAAATTTTCCTGAGCCCCATGAAGCTATAACGCGTCACTGGATGAATATGGTTTTACGACCACCGAAAAATTCCTGGGGACTTTTCGATCTCGGGTCCCCCAGAGCGGTAGGATGGGTACCATACGTTTGCCACCCCTGGTATATACTATCAGTCGCTGCTTGTTGCGCATACTTAGGTTTCTAATTTTTACCTTTGTCTTATTAAATTTTTTTTCCAAAAAAAAGAAAAATCAATTTAATGAACCGAAAAAATAAAAGCATCTTTAGTTCCAGAGTCGCAACATAATTGAGTTATGGATTTTAGCATTATCTTCTATACGAAGATCAATATCCGAGTTGCCCCACAGTTTAATAAACATTTTCACTTTGCGATTAATCATTATCCAATGATACTAGGAAATTATTTACTTATATAAGAGAAATAATCACGCATATTTCGTTTGGCAATAACTGCAATAAACTATTTCGTAACGGTGTAACTGCAAAGTGAAAGAGTTAATTAACATATGAAACAAGTAGGCATTCGGCGATTTACATAATAAATATGAAAGAAGAGCAATGAATTATTATTATTATTATCTATAAAGTTTCATTAAAATGCAATTTTTAACGAAACTTTTTCTGTTTTCGCATTAAAATATATGACGAGGAACAAATTTCAAATAAACAGTTCGGTTAGGTAAATTTAATAAACGGTAATATAATAACCTTTTCTTTTTTGTAACTCTCCGCTCTGCTGGCACTGATAAGGCCTTTTTTAACCGCCTTGTTTTAAGGCTCTCTTAGTGTCCCTCTTGTGGGTACTAAGAGAGCGTTTGTTTTAGCAAACCCATTACAAGTTTGGCCAGGCCTACAATTGGGTTGCCAGGTTGTGGGGGACTGGGCCCGACATATCCGAACGAATCACCACCTGAAAATTTTCTGAAACCACCTTTTCGACCCGTCCGGACACGATCCCGGATCCCCCAGAGCAATAGGCTGCCACCTTAACCGGTTGGTCATTTGGCCAATATCATTATACTTCTTTTGAAATAATAATGATTTTAAATAGTTTCAATGTTATATATTAGCCCATTGTAGACCTGGCCGAACCCATAATGGGCTTGCTAAAAGAGGTCCCTTAGCGCCCACAGAGCGGGCAGCCATTGACAACTCATTAAGACAAGTAAAAATTATTACGAATGTCATTTATCAAACAATATGCAAAATCTGTAGCGTGTAGCTTAAAATAATTAAATAAAATAATAGGGCCAAAATAGGAGCGCGAGCAACAACAGGTGACTTTACTTTGTAGAGAGTCATGGTGCGCACCACGTGCTTGCGTAAGTAAATATCGTAATTTTCTAAGCTTACATACTACAAAAACACCTTATACATTTAGTACAGTCTTTAAAAATATTATCCGTAATTTCATAAGAAAACAAATTTTAACTTGGACAAAACACAGTTAACTTACACAATCCCCCTTTTAAATGTTCCTTCTTTACAGACTAGGCGGGTTAATGCTTCCCGTGGGTGACGATAATACAATATTCGATTTATTTTAATTAATCTTTAGTATTTGATAAATCGAATTGTGATGTAATGTAAATTGTATATATAAAGAACAGTAATGTCAGCTTGAGCCGCAATTGTTCCTCATTCATCTATGATCTGTATTAGTAGAGGCGAAAAATTAAAACCATTACTCTTATTTTTCAGATAAAATTACCAGTGTAGAGCGAATCCAAATTTAATCTTTATGGGGCAGTAAGCTCGTAAAACGAACCTGAATAAAATGTAAAATGAATATGGTGATGAGGTATTGTTATGGCGTTATTTCCCAGTATCGAGTCTTTCATCGTAGCCTATCACTATTAAGGCGCAAATCTATTGCTTTGGGGCATCCAAGATCAAATTCGAGCTGACAAAAGTAGGAATTTTTTTATGGGAGATTTGTCCCGTATATGTTGGGCCCAATCCTTCACTGTAGGCCTGGACGCACAAGACGGGCCCGATAAAAAAGGCCCTCTTAGTGACCACAGGGCGGAAAGAATAAAAAGAATTCGAAAATGTTTAATAATTATTTCAAATATTACCATATTTGATGCTACTGTTTTATAACTGAATGGATACACTTTATTTGTAATTTTACAAATTATTGAATTTTTTTAAGTCCGTACGCTGATTTTTATTTCTTTAGAGCATCTCAAATTATAGCATCAGATTATTTGAATAATATAAATATTTCATTAAATTTAAGAATTATAATCTGACAAATAACTAGATGTTTATAAAAAAAAAAAGTAATATATGTGTACACTATTTATAGCCTAGAACAATGAAAAATGTAAACAGGAAATATTACATTTTTACGAGTTTCAATTAGCAAAGTAAGAGGAGAAAACACGAAAAACAAAATTTATTGTTAGAATGCAATAAATCAAATAAAGTTATCCTGTTTTTCAGAAAATTCGAGAACAGGAAATAAATAGTTAAGAAAAAAAAAACGTATAAAAGAGACTCTTTTCCTCCCATTTCAAGAGGAAAATTGTCAATAAATATCCTAATTTGCTTGTGTTTTTATAGTTCCCATATACATTATATATTTTAAGTTTTTCAAAATTTTTCTAATGATTTTAAATGTCTTCTTTAAATTCCTTCCACCCCGTGTGGGCACTAAGAGGTCCCTTTTAGTAGGTCTATTATGGGTTCCCGAAGATTCTGGGTTTTCCGACCCGTTTTGATTCCGGGTCCTCCGAGCGGTAGGCTGCCATCTTAACCTCCCAGCCATCGGGCCATTTTAAATTTCTGTTTCAAAAAAGGAACACCACAAATAGCCATGGATAAACAAATCAGTGACATAATCTGTTTCAAATGAAACGAATTATGTCATTGGTTTGTTTAAAAACAGCTGTACTAAATACAAGGCAACATACTCTATCGTTAAGGTATAGTAACGGATTGTAATTTTATAATTTTTATCACTGCTATCATTAGTTACTGCAATTAAAATGGCAACCAACCGCTCTGGGAGACCCGGGATCGTATCCGGACGGGTCGAAAAACCCCAGAAACTTTTTGGAGATCGTATATGTCGGGCCCTTTACGGGTTAGGCAGCCCATAAAGGAGCGGCCGAACTCATAATGGGCTTGTTATAAAGGGTCCTCTTAGTGTCCACACGGCGAAAAGAGTTTTTAAAAAGTTTAAAGGTAGCACATCTATTTATATAGAACAAAATATCCTTTATATCGGCATTTAATATTGAATAATGATATAATTCTTAGTACAAAAGTAAGTTCTGGTGTCTTTTTTTTTAAATAATTAGTTAATTATTAGAAATTTCAATTTTGAAACTTAAATTTTCAATGAGTAAAAATATTGATTTTAAAACAGAAGATAAACTCTCAGTAAATATAAAAAAATTTTTGCGCGATAATAATGGAGATAAAGAAATACACACACTCGTCATTTATTGCCTAGCACATAAGATCGAAAATATTAATTTAAACTGGTTCAGTACGTGATTATCTCGACCGCTTTCAAATCAGAAGAATAAAAATAGAGAGAAATGAATATAATTTTTCTCTTCCTTCACCGTTTAATTTTTAAAATATTTTTATATTCAGCAAGTTAGATATAAAAGAAAATAATAAAATGAAATTACTATGAGATCCCTAGTTTAAATGCACGATGGACGACCTGAAGGCTGATCTATTGCTTTGGAGGATCCGGGTTCGAATACGGTTGGAATAAACCCCAGGATTTTTAACATGATGTACAGTTTATCTCGGGTGTAGTCCTTTATAACCCGGTTTACACCATTGTGGGCCTGGCGGAATTCATAATAAGCATTTTAAAAAAAAAAACCCTCTTAGTGCGCGCAGGGCAAAAACTTAAAACAGATAAATTTTATGAAAGAAGAAGTGAATAAGTCTAAAGATGAGAGGGTAATGGAGGCCTGGGACAAAATACAAATTGGGGACCCTATCAAATTAAATTATATTAAATAAAAAGGTTGCATAGAAGCCTCTATTTCCTTGGAACCCAGGACAATTTGCTCCTTTTGTCTTCCTTCTGGTCGTCCCTTCTAAAACTTAAATAAAATTTTAATTAGAGTTCTAAAATTAATTTCAAATAATATTTCACAAAATCACATAGAACAAACACATTTTAATTGGAGATATTAGTTTTAAATTTAAATGGAATAAACAAACAGTTTTATCCAGTCAATAATGATTATGTATATGATGTATAGATTAAATATTAATTTATTAATGACAAACTTATTTCGTTTGTAAATTTTTTAAGATTAGGAAACAATAGAATAATAGATATTTTTATTATTTAATTCAATGATTTTCATGCTCAGTCTGTTTATCATTATGAATTAAAAACAATAGATAAAAATATCGAGATTAAAGCTAATTAAATGCTATTAAATTTATCAGGATTAATTCCTTTTGAAGACTTAATTTTCTTTAAAATCCAATTATGTTTAAATTAAATTAACAAAGGTTAAAGTTAATACAACAATACGATAAATATGAAGAAAAAAAAACAGCTAAATAATATGAACGTTTCACAGTTTAATTCAGTGTTTTTCAACCTTTTTTTCTTTTTATCTCACGTCAATACCTCACGAAAAATATTACAGAAAAGCCCCTTTTGGAAATACTGCAGAGGGGCCCACTCGTATATA